CATGGCTTACCTGGGAGGTGTAGGAAATGTCTTCTCCCTTCTACTGGTGCATTGTCCCCTTCCCTGAAACCTAAATTCTTTTGGGGAATGAGTAGAGAACAGAACATAAGATTCTTATCAGCACACTGGTGACTGATGAGTTGGAATAAAATTCTCTTTTAGACAAATGTCCATTTTGCCTTATTAATTTAAACAAGGATTTTAAAGACAAAGCCCATCAAACATTAGATAAGCCTTTTAAGTTAATGGACCATGTAGTCCTATTTTTCCCACAAACTCAGGAATCTTCATATTATGTCCTATTTTTACAGCAACATCAATTATTAATATGTATACTTTTGCTGACAGAGGACCACACTAAAAATGTGAGTTTCGTTATCCAGTTCTGGGTCATTAACTGTGAAAAGCTTGTAAATATAATGGTTTATTCACATGGGAAGCCTTCATTAAGATGCATTATTCTACAACTGATGTGGCAGCATTGCATTATCAAGTTCACTGTCTCCATCTAATATTTGTAATTTGTTTCTAAATGAGTTGTGGTTTGTAGGGCAAGTTAACAAATTTGAATTTCACATGGCCAGAGAAATTTCTTAAAGATGGGAAAATGCTTCTTCCCCTAAGGAAAAGCTATTTATTAGCATCTTCCTGGAGAATGCCTCCCTTTGATTCAGAAGCAGGAACATTAGAGGCGCTGAGAGAAGGGATGTTAGAAATAAATTGGCTTTTGTCTTCCCTCCATGCACATTAGAGGGCTATGGAAGCACACTCAGGATAACCTCAGAGCTCCACAAAAGCCATGTGGAAACATGGAAAGCTCTTCCATGGTTCTGTAAGGTATAGGCTGGCCAGCAGGAAAGCATTCCTGCTGGAGCTGTTGGAATTCATCCTCTCTCTTGGCACGCTCCAGCCATTTCACTTCCTATTCCCTCTTGCATCTTCAGATGGCCAAAGCTTTTTTAGACCCATTTTCTTCTGAGTTCTGCTCCTTGCCAAGAGAACAGAACCTCCAGCAGGGCTGTTGGAGAGATTCTGTCTCCTTTTGTCTCCTTCTGAAGGCCCATGAGCACCTGAAGATAAACACAAGGTTGTGCAGTTCCTCATTCCTGAGACAGGGTTAGGAATGTGTTAAACTCTGAAGCTGGTGAGGTTTAGGGTGACACATACTTCTGTGATTAGGTCAAGAACACTGTGGACAAAATAAAACAAGTTTAACAGAGCAGCTTTCTTCAGCTGCAAAGCTGGAAGGAATCACCTATGCTATTCATAGCTTGTTTTCTTTTTTTCAAATGTTTTAATAGTCTAAAACATTTTATAACATCATTTAGTCGACAGAAGAAAAGCATTTTCTATGAAAATTCTTGACAAATGGTAGAAAACAGTTCCATCCTCTGGACATCTTGTTACATCTCTTCAGCAGCTCCTGCTGCTCCAGTATCTATATTTAGGTTATGTTGCTAAATTCCCTTCCACACTTAGGTTTGTCTACTTCATCTTCTTATTCCCTCCCTACTTTATCAATTAATTCACTTCCTTGAGCATCCACACACTTGGATCTGTTCTTATAGTCCAAGGAAGCTGTTTTTACGATAATCCATATTTCACTTGTTATCCCACGTACACATCAATTCTTTTGATGTCTCCTCATCCTTGTTTTTCTCAAGTCCATTCACTTATGTTTACATGACTGCATTGACTTCAAAGTGAGAGAACAGAAAGTCAAGCCAGCTGTACAGTCACCTGTGCTGTTTTATTTAACAATCACATGCCCGTGGTGTGACGTCCTGGCTGCCAGTCAGCGCTTTCCTCCTCCTCCTCCTCCTCCTCTCCCAGAACAGGAGCCAGCCTTACGTTCCTGCCACGTGCTGGCCTCCTGCTCTTCCCCCACGAACAGGGCACGCTGTGTCTGTTCCACATTAGCCAGATGCTCCTTCAGGCCTCATTTATCACAGCCAGCTGTGCTCTTCATCTCCTGCACCCCTCGCCCACTGCAGCTGGAGCGCATTGCTGCCAAACAAGAAACCAGGAGGAGAATACAGCCTTAGCAACTTGCCCTGTTCTCTTTGGTGCCTTTCTTTAGGGAAATATTGAAGGTGAATGGCTGGAGTCTTGTTCTAGAGGTAATTCTCATTCCTTCTGTTTTCTTGTTGTAAAACAGACTCTGGAAAAGAAAATAAAAAAAATTACAAAGAGTAAATACAACAGCGCTTCTCATAAGCTGTTCTGCAGGTTTATGTCTGTACTTGAGCCTTGGTGCTGAGTACAGCTCATAAACTCCTGTTAGGAGATGTATTGATAACTGAATGGTGCTCAGACAGGGAGCTGCACAAATATTTACTCTGGGTCTTGCCAAGCAGCACATATCCCATGGCCTCGTGGTTATCTGAGCCAGCTGCTTCAGGGCTACCTGGATTGTGTCCACAGCAGCTGCATGGCTCTGGGCTCAAGTAGAGATATGGGCTGTAGGAAATCACTTTTTGAGATAAGAATCTCCTGATCTTACACTGGCACCTCCCTGCCAGTTCACACAGCTCTCACCTCACCTGTGACTGGTGAAAGGGAGGCTGAATATATTCACAGTGTGAGGAGCTGCTCATCCAAGGCTCCCTCAAGATGCGGTGGAGAACAGCTCAGAGGAGCTGCAAAGGTTCTGGGATGGCAGGGAAGGCTCTGCTGCCTGTGCTGGTGCTCCCACCTTGGTCTGGTCCCACTGTCCACCACTCCCCTTGCTGTGGCACTGGCCCTCAGCTGCTCCTTGGCTGGCTGATCCACCTTTTTACAGTGGGAAATGAGTAACTTGAGGAGGTGGGAGGAGAGGAAAAGACAAAATGGATTATTTTCCACATTTTTAGGGAGCTGAACTGGCTCACTGCAGGGTCAGGTAAGTACCAGAGCCTGAGCAGGAGAAGGGAGGGATGATGCACCCAGCAGTTCAATAAACTTCCCAGCACCAATAAACTGCTCACATTTCACCTTTAAATGTTCAGACTGTGCTAGAGAGGAGCATTTCTCTCTCTCCATCAGCCACAGGTGAGCCTCCCTAAAGCTGCAGGTATCCTCATGCCCATCTGATGGGAATTTCTCAGGAATCCCCTGGGGATTGCTGTAGGGACACAAATAGAGGAGCTGGGTTTGGATCTCAGTCTGGAAGACAGGCCTTGTTTTCTCTCTGGGCTCCTCTGGTTTTCCAAAGCAGCCCCTGAGAGAGCAGCATCACATCTGGCTGTCCTGGGCTTCATTTAACATCAGCAAGGCAGACAATGGTGAAACACAAATAAACACTGTTAATAGTAGCTGTGTTGTACTTATAAATAGGTGCTGGTGAGGGGGAAGATTGGAAACACTTGACTTCCCTGAAAACTGGGAATTGAGCAAAGGTAACATCTTAGGGTAAAAGGCAGCGCTTGGGGTCACATATTCAGGAAGGGAACATGTGCAGCCACCTTTCAAAACCACACTGCTGCTCTTATTTCCTCCTGAATATTTTCTCCCTGGTGGCCTTGACCGATTCCTGTAGCACAGTGTGAGTCACACATCCCAGATGCAGGGGAGGCAGTAAATTGCTTTCCTGAATGGGGCCTCTGTGCTTGCTTTGGACACTGTGGGATCCCTCTGGGTGCTCGCTGAAACCCAATTTGCTTGGCACTTATTAGTGATTTTTGGAACCTGGTGGAAGCATGGAAAACCAGGCAATAACAGATCTTAAATATGAGCTGGCCAAAGCTTTGACAGAGCTTTTTGTCTTCACGGGAGGCCTCTGGAATTGGGACTTGGAGCACACCAGAAAATACATCACCAGAGCAAGAAGAATGCATTACTGAATTAGTCTGAGATGTGCCAGTTAAGGACAACTTTTATATGCTCTGAGCATAGGGCCAGAGCAAAATTATATTAGGTTTTTTTTTCATGTAAACCAAGCTTTTGTTCACATATGCTGCCACCTATCTCAGTCACTAACTTTGAAAAGTAATAAAATCATAGAACAAAACCAGATTGTTGTATTTTCTCCTCTTTTCCTGTAATTTACCATACACCATCAGACAATATGACTAATAATTCTCAAGTGCATGAAAAAAAAATAAATTGTTCTAGAATTTTAAAAAAACAAACTTAAACCACAACCTAAAACCACAAATCTAGTTCACAAGTTAATTTTAAAATAGATTTTTTTTCTACATTTACAAGGTAGCAATATCTCATAAAACACTGGGACCATCATAACTTTATCAATGATTGCAAAATGAAAAACACAAAGTTTCAGCCCACCCACACAGATGGGTTTTTTCATGCTTCTGTATTTGAATACCAGAAAGACTTTCATTTTTTCTCCCTCACACTACATATGTAAAATCAATCACAGAGTAAAAATTATTCTAAGACTTGAAACTGGCTGAGAAGCTCTTCTTTCCAAGGTTATCAAATCATGGGAAACTTTGGGAGCTGTGATTTTTGTTATATTGTTTGGGGGGGTGTGTGGGGGGGGTGTTTATTCCTTTTTGTTGTTGTTGCTCCTCAAGGGAAGTTGATTTCCTAAAGGAATCTGACCAGCTGCTACAAAATACCAGGAAACCACTGACCAAGCACTGCATATAAAAATTTCAGTGCACAAATTAAAAACAATACTGACTAATTAAAAAGCATCAATGGGAAGTCCAGACATTTGAAAATTCAATTAAAAAATTCTCTGGCACCCTTCTGACATGGATAAAGCTGGCATTTGCAGAACAGCAGCTTTCTCACCTGTCTCATTGAGATGCTGGGATCCCACGCTGCAAAGGTTGTTTTTGTGCATTGCAATGTTGTTAATTAATGCTGAAATAGCAACAATAGGCCATTGTGTGCATCCAGGCACTCTTTATGAGCACAGGGGTTTGTGTTTTTTTTCCTGGCTTCCTGCAAGTAAATTAAGGCTTAAGCTCAGATTCACTGTCAACCTGGCATTCCAGTAAATATTAAGTTTCTTTTCATTCATACCTTTTATTTTCTCCTCTTGTTTTCAGAGCCTGCCTCCTGAATTGGAGGCAATAAGCAGTTTGCAGAAAGCAAATGTCCTGCAAGGTGAAGTCCAGGAAAGAGAGGACTTAGACTTCAGGCCTGAGCTGAGGAAAACAGAGGGGCCCCACATCAAGGAAACCCTCCAGGACCAGATCACCCAGTGCTTCCTCGAGTGCCGGTGAGCAGAAACACTTACCCCTTAATCAGTCCATTTGCCTCAAAGAGCCTGATTTTGAGTTCCTATAAAATCCATCTTTAAGGCAGTGGTGCCAGTCCCAGAGGAGGAGTTAGTTCTGCAAAGCCCAAATCCTGAGCTGGAGGATTCCTGACTGGGGGGACCAGAGCGGGCATTGCTCCTGGCAGGGGTCAGAGGTGCTACTGCAGTCCCTGGCTGGGGATCAGCCCCACACACATTCGAGTGGGACACCTTCACTTTGCACAGTACCTTGGGCTCAGTCTTTGGAATTATAAGCAGCACACTTTCAACTTGAGGAGCAGTGACTTTTCTCCCTGTCTGAATAGATAAGGTTTAAGAGAGAGAACTCACTCTTCCATGAGATGGAAGTACCATTATTTGCCATAGCAAATCACATCACGTCACTGGGGCTGCCATCCTGCTGCTGGTATTATCCAGCAGCCCACATGAATCTGAAGCACTTTTGTTCTTGAGGCCTGACCTTCAAGGCACTCCTCCAAATGTAACTTTACTCGAGCAGCGCTGCTGATCTCAGTGAAACTTCACGTCTCAGTAGAGTTAAGCACATACTTACACACTTTTAAACCCAGTGCTGACACCTCTGCTTCTCTCAGGAAGTTTACTTCAGCCAAAGAAGTTTTGAGACTGGCAGTTCTGACACTGAAAACCCTTGTCCTAAGGAACATAGGCAGCTTTTATCATTTTATGGGATTTACCCCATCTAGAGAATTAGTGTGTAAAAGTAAATTGGGAAGCAGCAACCAAAACTTTCAGGAGTTGGCAGCAAGGTTTCATTTGCTCTTCAAACTGTTTTTGTGTTTTGAGCTGCTCAGTGATGTTACAGGGCTCATATTTGTCTTGTGGACCAGTGTCATGGCCATTAATCATTCAGTGTTTGCTCAGGGTACTGGACTTGCCTTCAGCGTGCAGTTTCCAGCTGGAAACACAAATGCATTCTGATGAAATCCTGCCCTGTTTGTTCCTTGACTCCTTCAATCAGGTTTGGGCAGCTGTGCTACAGTGAAGTGTTTGTTAAAAAAGAAAGAATGATCAAAGATAGCACTCACTGGTCTACCACAACCTATTGCTCTTCTCTCTTGTAGTTTTGCCTCTTACAGACTGTCAAGACTCCAGCATATTTTACTCTCCTTTAGAAAGAGCTGCTGCTTTTACAAACCTCAGTTATTGCAAAGCCCTTTCCCATTCCCTAAATCAACCCTCTCCCAGGGCCTGCTCTGCTCACTCCTTGAGCTGCCATTTCCTGCCATTCCCCACAGCTCCCAGCATGTTCTGAGGTACAGAAAGATCTTATTCCCTTTGCTTAATATTCCTCACCTAATAGTCATTCTCCACCATAGGTCAATTGTGTCCAATTAACTTGGCTGTGGAGCTGGGGGAGAACTCCCTGAAATACTGCAGGAACCAATGGCAATGTTTCTGTAGCAGATTAGCAGGGAACAGGCAATCTCCCAGAGAAGCAGGCTGAGCCATAAACCTCTTTAAAGACATTATGAGACACTATTAAAAGTTAAATCTGGTCCACAGAGACGCTTAACAGCAGAGCCAACCAGCAGCCTAACCCATCCAAAGGATCATTTGAGGAAGCTGAAGCCATGGTTCAGTGGAGGGAGGTGGAGAGGGATGGCTGAGAGGGCAGTTCATCAAAACTCCTGCTGCCTAATGCAGGGGAGCCCTCAGTCCCATGTACCTGTCTAAGGTGGAATGTAAAGTGCTGAGCTTTCCTTTTGTAGCCCTTACAAGTGGAATGGGACTTCCTTGCTGAGTTTATATCTCAGCTTTAGGTGAGACTCGAGACACCATCAGCATAACCTGATTAAACAAGCTATAAGGCATCCTCAGCTACCTTGTTCTGGTCTGCCTAGTCAGGTTCAGTAGTCTTGAATCTCATCTAGATTTGAAAATTAACAAAGATTAAAGCAAATGTTGGAATATAAGCACCACATTAACTGATCTTGGATGGCTTTATGGATAATCCTGAGCAAGGGATTATCTTAGATGAGACTAAGATACACCCACAGGGTGCTTAGAGATAAGCCCTGAGTCAGGCTTGCTCTGCTGCATTTGAGACAGGGAGAGAAAACAGCTCCCTTCTCTGGGAGTACTCGTACAATAACCCACCCATCTGAAACAATACTGTATTTTAACCACTTTAACCATTTGCTATCAAAATGGTCTGATTAGGCTTAAAACTGCTATTTTGCAGCGTGTCACATTGCCTCAGGCAGTTGTGTGGTGTCCCTGAGAGCAGGGTCATTGCTGGTGGCAGAGGGACAGCGACACACTTGTTGCAGTCAGTGTTTGACCAGAGAAGCCCAGAAAGGTTTGGGCTGGAAGGGACCTTAAAGCTCACCCCATTCCAACCCCTGCCACAGGCAGGGACAGTTTCCATTAAGCCTTGTTGCTCCAAGCCCCATCCTACTCCCTGTTACTCTCTTCTTTTAACTGAACTGTCTGTCACGATCCCTAAAAAATCAGTAGTGCACGGTTCAGCCAAGAGCAGACAGCTCTCATTGATAAAAGCTCTTTTGGTGATTTAGCAGATGGAATTCTGCCCCCAGTGAAGGCAGTGGGAGAGCTGCCATCAGCTCCAGCACAGGCTGGACATGGCCCAGTGCTGGAGGTCATTTGAATCTGGCTGAGTGAGGAGGTGATTTACGGAGCTGAGAGGAATCAGAGCGAGCTGCCCGCAGTCCTGCTCTTCACAGCAGGACTCTAAGTGACCACAATCACTTTCCCCACAGACACATCCAAAATAGGTTTAAAAACAACAAAAAAATTCAGTGTATTTCTCCACAAGGGGAGTGTGTGTGTCCTGCAGAGCCAGGCTTTCCTGCCAGAGAACTGGGAGCTGTGTCCTGCTCAACAGAGGGCCAGGCCTGAAGTGTCAAGGTTTGCATTAATTATTACCTGCCAGGATATATTTTGGCTCTCCCCTAAGCCAGTCTGCGAGATCAACAGCTAAATGTAGCTTATAAATTATTCTTCAGCTAGGTTTTTTGACAGAGTTTACCATTTTCCATAGTCTATTAAATAAACAGATAAAGGGGAACAAAGATTCTTTTGAATAAATTTTGCTGTGTGGAGTAGAAAATAAACCCAAACTTCCATATTTTATCCTTCCCTCTGAAAAGACTGTGATAAAAAATACAATTAGCAGGTATTGTCTTTCAGCACAGTTACTCTTAGATTACAAAAGCAATGAGCACATATTAAATTTCTCAGCTTGTAAGAACTGCTGTAAATATTTATCGCTTTCATTGCACAAGGGAACAGCTTCCGTCATTTCAAGACCCAAACCAGTTTCTTAGGAACAGAGGTTATATAAAAGCCAAGGAAAGCAAAACCCAAAGGAACAGGCTAAATGAAATTGTTCCAGTTGCTTATATCAGTCCTGCTGCAGAGAAGATAAAATAATTTTGATGTAATTGCATTTTTCAGCCTTACCATCCGTACTTCAGTTTACCTGGGCTGACTTCCGTGGAGCTGCTCTTTATTGGCTTGCAAATTATTCCCATAAAGCCTTCCAGATTTCCATGTGGCAGTGTCCAGCCATAGTAGAAAATAAAGATAATTGGTTTGGAAAGCTTTGTGAAGAAGCATCATGCAGTTTACCTACAGACCTGCCCTTCTTTTATTTTTTTTTTTTTTTCAAGAGCAGGAATACAAATGATCCAAAATTAGCAATTGCTGTGATTATATAGATCTGAGTCTGGATGATAATCATTTGAGTCCCACACATTCCATCTGTTCAATTAATAACAGAGTTTCATATTAAGATACAGCAGAGCTGGGGTTTTACCTCCAATTTCCTTCACTGTTCCAAACCAAACCCATTTTTCTGTCATTTCACATTTAGGTTTTTGCGCTGAATATGCAAAGCCAGTTGTTCTCTTCTCAACTCTTTACCCACTGTGAATAAACCACTTCCCAAATAACAAGTCTTGCTAGAGTCATCCCTAAAATGAATTTCAAAAAGGGATGGGCAGAAAAGGGGAGAAGGATCCCTTTATTATCCAGAGAAATACAGTAGTATCTTTGTCTAAGCCAAGTCTTTTCTGACAGAAATCAATACAAAGGATGAGAAATCAAGATGAGGTTTTTATTACCAGAGATGGCCTCCAGAATCACAGGGGAGAGCCTCATGCATGGGCTCTGCTGTGATGTGCCTCATGCCCTCGAGCTGTAACAAATTACTCCATGAATTTCTTGCAGGATTTATCCGCCACTGCTCGGAGCTCTGGGGAGCATTTCATCAGTGGCATCACTGACCTAATAACAGGGGATCTAAGTAATAGCAACTTTTATGGGGGCTATGTGTTATTCCCACAGATTTGGGGATTGGCTTTCGGGAGGGAGGAGGCGGCGAGGGGTAAATGTGCTTTCATAATAGGTTTACACTTTACTGATTAGCTTTGAATGATCTTCTTGCTCTGCCTGCTGACTTGAGTACTGGCAGAAAAGGAATTGGCCAAGCTTCATGGTGAGTGAATGAGACTCCTCCCGAAGCAGGGGGGGTTCCTGTGCTTTATTTATTCATTTTGAACATTCCTGACAGCCAGCCCAGGCTTTGATGCAGAGGAAAAGAGAAAGAAATAGGAAGTGATGGTGTTATGTTTCCCTTCTTTCCCCAGCCTGTTTTGTGGAGCTGAGTTTACTGCCAATACTCCTGTTCCTGGGGCTCCCTGGGCAGCAGGAGATGGGGAAGGGGGAGGCAGGAGGGAGATGAATGGAGAGAGAGCTTTTTGCATTGAATCCCCACAGAACAGGGGAAGAGTTCATTCATGTCAGGCACTGCCCGTACCACGTTTCACACACCCTCCACTCTGCTTTTTCTGGGGTCCGTGGTGGAGCTGCCAGGCAATCCCTCAGCAGTGAAGCCTGGCCAACAGGACAGAGAGGGATGGCACCTCAGCAGTGCCAGCAGCAGCACCAACAGCAGCACCCCCTCCGCTCTGGTTCCG